CTCTGTAATGCTGCCCACTGCAGTTCAGCAAATTTAGACAAGGAGTCAGGAGGAACAAGTGAGTGGGGGAACAATTCAGTGGGGGAACAAACTCCTCTCAGACCAGCCAGGAAGTCACCACAGGAGAGAGGGAGCAAAAGAGTCCTGTGAAAATCTGGATGAGTGCCAGCAGGACAAAGCCAAAGGGTTCCCAGGCTGTGCTGTAGCCAGGCATGATGCACCATGTCAGCCAGTACTGCCAGGAAACCCTGGACTGAGGGTCAGGGAGCAGGGACCCAAGTGCCACAGGCTGCTCCAGGCTGGTTGGCAGAACCCATGAAGGATGACGGGTGAGTCTAGTGCTGGCAGAGCAGACCCTGATCTCCCAGTATCCAGGTAAGCTCTTGACGGGGTTGTGATGCATCCATCGTTCTCCATTAGCAGATCTGCTCCCGACAACACTGGTCTCCAGGATGGATACTGCTCCGGAAGGGCCTGTCCCAGACACAGGTAAGTGGAGTCTCATGCCAGAAAACAGATTTGCACAGGCAAGTGCGGGCTGACACACGCCATCCCAGACCAGCTCAAAATCTGGCTGCTGTGGTTATGGCAGATCCAGACGAAGGGAACAAACCCCTGCCATGCCAAAGCCCGGGCACCGCCCAGGCAGGAGATGCCATTCTGGCTCCCACTCACAGGCCTGTTGAGGGGCGTTTGCTGCCTGGAGTTTCCTTGTGCTACTATTCAGAGATGCCCCATCCCTGGAAGTACTCGAAGACAGGTTGGACAGGACTTGAAGCAACCTAGTGGAAGGCGTTCTGCCCACGGTTGGGGGTAGACCCAGGTGGGCTTTAAGTTCCCTTCCTACCAAAACCATCCTGGGATACTGTGACTCCACTAGGAAGTGACTGAACCCCAAAATGGCCAGGGCCCCACCTCTGGTGCCGCCGCAGGTTTTTTTCGGGTTTAAAGCCGGTGCGAAGCAGGCCCGGGCACTGCCCGCTCCCGGCCCGTGCCCCCCGGCCGCGGACACCGCGCTCTCCCCACAGGTGCCCCCCGCGGGCCGCTGCTGTACGGGCTGGGGGCCGCGCTCGGCGGGGCCGCGCTCGGGGCCGCGGCGGCGGCCACGGCCATGGCGATGGCGCTGCGCTGGAGGCGGCGGAGCAGGAAGGACGGTGAGCAGCGGCAAACACACCCGGGGCGCGGGCGGCGGGAGGAGCGGGCCCGGCCCGAGGGAACGGGCGGCGGGAGGAGCGGGCCCGGCCCGAGGGAACGGGCGGGTAGTCAGGACGGCCCCATTGCCCCCACTCCTAGCTGGTCCCTTCCAAGGAGAGGCCTGTGGGAGAGTTATTCCTGAATGTGGGAACACCTGGAAGGCAAGTCGATGCATATCTTGGATTTTTTTTATTTTTTTTTTTCCAGATCCTCTCTATGAAGTTTCTTTGTGAGTGTAATTGCCTACCTGGCACATTAAGACTAAGGACATTGTACTGGTGTCTGCTCCCGAAAAGCCTCTCGGCTCAGTGAAAACCTAGGGAGGAGGGAGGATCTGAACATCTTGGCAGTTTAGTTAGCAGCAGGAGGACATTAACGCTTGAGCACAGGAGGTAGCCAGACTCTTTAACGTGGTAGAAAAACAGGATACTCTGGGTCCTTTGCTCTGCTTATCTCATGCCATGGGAAAACCGTTCTCTTTAGGAAGTTTCCACCATTATTTAACAAAGCAAAGGACAGGAATTCTCATCTCTTCCCTAGAGATAAGTTCCCTCTATACATGCCTTTCTCCATAAGAAATATGTCTCAGTACTTGCCCATTACTTTGTGCAGTTCCTAATTGCTTATGATTATATGAACACATCTTCTGCCCTGTCCTCATCTCAACCTTCTAACCCTTCATACTGCTTTCCTACTCAGAGGCACACCCTAGCCATCTGTAGCCATTTTTCCGAGTTACTCCTGGTATTACTTTCCAAAGGCTAGAGTGTCTGCTAGTAACTTTAGAATATAACATGATAATGCCATGAGAATTTGTGGTACCAGGGTTAACTATTCAGTGCTTCTTTTTATGTATGTAATTCTTTTAACATCACTTTCTAGTGTCTTTCAGAGCCTCACAGGGCCTCTCTAGAGTACTATGAATTTTGCTGTTGTACATATTATATGGTAGATCTCGTCTCTAACTAGCATGTAAATGAAGTGCCTGCTGTCTGCTTTAGTCATCCCACTCACTCGTGTCTGTCCTGTCCCAGCCACAGCACTGCAGGTGTCACGGCGCTGGAGGCTGAGGTGGAAGTCCCTGTTAAGTGTCTTCACAAGGAGATATGTTGTAATGCTGAAACACCCAACGATACTTTCACCGTGAAAGACAGGAAGAGTCCTGAGTATGAGAACCTTGTGACTGCAATGGAATCAGAATATGAAACAGAGGGAATTTAGCAGAGTACTAGCTCTTCTTCGTGAGCAGCCATGCAGGACTGCAGATACCAGATAGTGAACTTAACAGGAGGAGACCCTTCCTCCTGTTGGTCTTCTGCTTTGATAAATGTTTCACTGCTTGCTTTAACCCAGAGGAACTGCATAATCTTCTTGGGCTTTGGGAAACGAGGCCCTGCCCACTGGAGCAGAAACCCTCAGCTGAGCATTTGTCTACCCACTTCTACAGAGTGAGTAATTTCTGAGCAGCCTGAAGGACTGAGGTCAGGAAGAGAGGATCTGAGGGACTTGGAACTTGAACGTCTTTAGCCTGCAAATCCATGAGTAGCTGCGTGCAATGCTGGCAGCCAGTAACATCAGCAAAGGGTACTTTTCAGTGCATGTTCCTGTTAGGACATCCCAGGCTGCAAAGAACCAGGGATTGTGCTGTAAATGGACATCTTCTGGCTTTCGCAGTTCAGCAAATACTGGTTTGTCCATCCTGCTTGTCCATGAGTCTTTTTTTGTTAGAGCATAATAAAGGGACCAAAGAGGGGGGGTTGATGTCCCAGGAATGTCAGTTTTGCTATCAGACTGGAGCTCAGTGCACAGAGGGAGAGGGAATGAGTCTCCAAACTGCCACCACTGGTTTTCTCCTGGAAAACCAGAACTGATGTTGAAGGAAATGGTGGCATTTAGTTTTTACAGTGTGGGGGCCAGAGGCATAACAAAATAGAAATTTGAAGCGTTTGAATAATGATTAAGGGATCTCTCTAGATTTAACAGGCTGACACTGATTTACTCTGTGGAACACAAGTCAGTCTGTGTGATTATTAATGCTGACCTATGTTACAGGGATGCTGTGGGTGCTTATGATTGTAAAATGCTGCTCCTCCCTTTAGCTGCAGCCCGTTCCCTACAATATGCTGTCACTTAGCAGCCTGGTTTGCCTCTTCATTGTTAATCGTTTGTACCTTGCCTGTACTAAGATGCTGCTGGCAGAGGCCTGTCCTCCCTGTCTGTCCCTTCAGCCAGCATCCTTCTGTCCTCCAGGCTTGTCAGGGAGGGGGATGCCACCTGTCCTTAACAAAGCAAATGTGTAAGAAGAGTGACTGGCTTTTATTAAACCAGTGGATGCAGCAGGGGGAGCATGGGGAAGCAGCTGAGCTCAGGTCATGCACACCCTCCTGCTTGTTTGTGTGAGGCTGCTGCACTCCCATGAGGCAAGCAGGAGCCAGCCTGTCCCTGTTGGGCCACAGTAGCACCAGGCACCCTCCATGCACTGGTTCCTTTGCTCATGTGTGGGTGCTGCTCTCTCAGACCCACCAGCTCCCCTGCCCCAGCTGGACAGGAGGAGAGCTGAGCCCTTAGTGAGGGTAAGCAGTGTGGGGACCATTTGGAATGCGTGTGGGTCTCTGATGCTTTGCCCCTGGGCTGAGGTAAGTCACCCCTCGCAGGGTGTGTTTGCTGTGGCCTCACATACACTCCCACAAGCAGGCCCCAGAGACCCTGCGCTGGAGAAGATGCTGGCATCAGCAATTCAGGGGTGGTGTGGAACAGAGGAACGAGGGGAATGGGAAGCTACAGCCACACTCATGCAGGGCAGAAGTATGTGGTGCAAAGTGAACACCGTGTGGAAAGGGAACTGAAACTTCCCAGCTTCCCCATGTTCACCTCAGTGTATCCAGGCCCAAAACACATGATATAGCACTCTCTCCACCCACCAAGTACCATCCTCATTAATTTTCAATTAGCCTGGTGTTTTGTGCAAATTTTGCCGTTATAAGCTCTGAGCTCCGGATTCACTCACTGACATGGTTTTTCCCATTTGTGATTCCTCCCAGCACTGATCTGCCCTGAGGAGGTCTGGACGCCTTCCTCAGAAGATCCAAAACCTGAGAGAAGCTTCAGAGAAAGAAGGCAACGGGAGTTAAGAAAAGGGGAGCAGATGCTCCAGTTGGAGCAGTCCCCCATGTACTCCATGTTGTCACTGCCTCCAGATTGGGCAGCAAAAGCGTTTTGGTCACAAGCAGCAGAACAGCAGAAACACAAAAAGTCTGTCTCCAGTGCTGAGGTGGTTGTTGTTCCCTGTGCAGCAAGAGTGTGATTATTTTTTAATTTATATTTTTTGCATGTTTGGTAGTAAAACCTGTTGGAAACAGAGCATTTTTCTTCTGGAAGTCACAGAGGATTTTGCTATATTGCATCACCATCAAATCGGAGAACTTCTCCTTTCCTTGCACTGGTCACTCACCCAGTGATGGGACTCATCTGCTCCAGCACAGAAGGAAATCCTCAGCTTCTGCTCTGAAACGACACTGCTTCCAAAGAACACGCTATCTTAAGTGGCCAGCACAGTGTCATGAGACTCACAGTTCCCCTTGCCTCAGAGCAACTGTAGTGCCCATCACATGGAGGCTTTTACACCTGCTGGGTTTGCCACCTACTTCAGAACAGGGACATGGGACATGAATTCCCAGAGAAATTTGTCCCACTGTAATTTGGTGTTTGTTCTTGCAAGAGAGGAAAAGGTTAACTTTCTTACCCCTCCCCCCAGTCATCTAGAAGGAACTAGGGGGTGGAGGGGAGAGTTATCCAAAAAGCAAAGGGACAAATTCTACTGAAAGCAAAAACTGGAAATGCACCATAAAACAAGAATGAAGGACATAAATGAACACTTGGCCACCTGTGTGCAGAGGAGGTTAGGTCTGTTGAAACCTTGAGATCTGGGTGATGGTAGGGTTGGGGCTGACAGAGTTGTCTGCTACATTAAGGATCCACAAAGCAAAGCCTGAAATCATAGACCTTGTTCTCTTTTGAAATGACCTCAGTGATAAAGATCAGGGTGATGTCTGCGAGTCATGAGTAGAGTAAGTGCTGGAGAAACACCAAGGGAGTGTCAGTCATAAGGAGTAGGACTGTGTTTGTCCAGAAGTGCACAAGCTATTCAAAAAGCAAAACCCAATTTGCTTAGGCAATGATACAAATTCATGGGTCCCAGCTTCATATGAACTCCAGCTTCTTCAAAATACTTACTAAGAAATAGTTGAAACAAAAAGCCCAAAAAGCTTAGTATTCAAGTTTATTAATATTTTCAAATATTGCACATTTTGCTGGTTGTACTGTGCTAAAACAAGTCAGTAGGGTCTTGGGAATTTTTATTCATTTCTGAGTTTTCCATGTCAAATGCTTTCAGAGAGTTTGATTTGTCATACTGGGCTGGACGCTGCCCTCACTCTGACATATTTGAAGCTGCAGATCTGATATGCCACAAGCCAGTCATTAAAAATGCTTACCAATTGTGACATCTTCAAGCAGGAAGATTTAGAGGGAATTATTTGCATTAAATAGGAGAAATAGGCAACCTTGCTGCAAGGGCTGACTAGGAATGATCATCCAAAGACAAGGAGCCTTCTCCAAACAGCAAGGCTGCCAGGAGAAGCAGTGGACTTCATGGTCTAATTTAAAACAGATTGAGCAAACATGCATTTTTCACTGGCTAATGGGCCAGAGATAAGTTAATCAGCAGCCTCATTAGTTTGTACTCTGAATGAAAAAAGATTCCTACATGTGCAAAGAAAAGATTTTGTATTATGGATAATACTGCCCTTACCCATAATGTTGTGATTATGGTTGCCAGAATCCTGATTAACTGAGCAGGATGATTAATTAGCAGCTGGCTAGTTAATGCTGTATAGAAGAGCAGAGCATTGTCTTTTGCAAAGAACAAGGACCCTGGGCCCAATTCTTTGCCTTCCCAGTGCAGAGGAGCTGCACCAGCACCACTGCTGCTCAGATGTACTGTTGGGAGGGATACCCCGGGTTGAAGGGAAATGTGGAAGCACAGGATCAGTCAGGTGTTCTGTAGCAGGGGGACAGGCCGTTCAGTACATCAGTGGGTTTCTGGAGAGGTGCAGAGCCTGGAGAGGAAGACTCGTGCCAGAGCAGGAGGGAGGGGCTGGACCCTTGGCGTGCACCGTGTTGCTCAGCAATGCCTCACTTGGGGTATTTGACAAACTGACACTCTGCACACTGAGTGTCGGACTCAGCTTGTCAAATACACGCAGTGCCACACTGCAGCTCCCAGGGGGTCACAGTGTCTTCGCTGGATGCCAGACTGGGGTCACAGAGAGAGAAAAGAAGCACAAGAAGAGCTAACGTTAACTTCAGAGGCTTTTTCCAGTTAGCAAAAAAACATCATTAACCCTCTCATATTTCCCCCTCCTATATTCTTCTTTTAGTGAGAAAGAATCACACCAGCAGACACTGCCTTCTGCTGAGGAAAATATCCACTATGTTAATTCAAAGGTCTGAAAAAGGGGTACAGATCTGACCCTGGGCATGCACAGAGGGTTTCATCGCTGACTCTGTTGGAGACTCCTGCATTTGGCAGAATACTCTAAGGATTATGATGCTAAAAGAAAACCAAGCTCCACACAGGGAAACAATAAACTTCTTTGGGAGTGAAGGGAAGCTTTCTCTTCTGTTGACAAACTATCCCCCCTCTGCTTCATTTCCAGCAGACAGAAAAAGCCTCTCCTGCAATAAGTGGAGCTTTCCAGCCCAATACACTGGCAGAATCCAGCCTTTAAGGGTGAACATCACATCCCACACACACACACACCCTCTTCAACAAAGACCAAAGATGCTGTTGTTCCCTTGTTCTTTCAACAAGAGTGTGCAGGAGATGCAGAAATGCACTTAAAGAAAACTAAATAAAAAACATACACAAGAGTAGTGCACGGTATTACTGTGCTCTGTCCTTCTCAGATGTTGACTCTTCAGAATTTCAGCCTAAGAACAGATTTGAAATTCTGATACAACTCTCTCAGAGAAAGTCATCCTGGCTCCTAAGCCACACACCCATTCTGCATAACACTGTTTATGTTCTTCATACTCTCCATGGACATGCCCAGATATAGCTGTTTAAGCAAGATGTTTTTAGGTTCCTTACCAGTCCCCAGATTTTAGTTTCAGATGACCAGCAGCACCAGTTTGTGAGAATAGTCACACTATTTTCAGTATCAAAATAAAAACTAAAATGTTATTAATTATATTTCTGAAGGTAGACCATTAAAGACACAAAAGTAGAATTGGATTAAGTATATTAACAGCATCATACAGTGGGCAATCCATCAACCATTTCTACCTCTAGCTTCTCTGATTCTATTTTACACAGATGACCATCTAAGATCACACAGAGAAACATACCTGGAAAGGTAAAGATTTTTTTCAGGTGAAAGCAAAAAATAAAAAACAGGAATATGAAACGCATATTCTCCAAACCCAGAAGAGAGTGGAATAAGGTTTAAGAGCAAGGTAACAGCTATAGCTTTAAAGATAAAATCAGTTTGTAACCTGGGTCACTACCCAGGCTTTGCAATTCTTGGATTCCCCCTGTCTCCACCTTCACCCTGGGTGGGATGTAGGTAGTGACCAGTTCTTTGTTCTGGCTCCTCCTTCCAAATGGAATTCAGTCATGATAGATAAAAGTATGTTGCAATGGATAAAAGGAGGATGTGCATTTCATGAACATAAGAAAACAGTGTTAATAATCTGATTTAAAATCAGCCTACCAGAGTACAAGTGACCCTGTCATCCCTAAAAGGACTCTCAGCCATACCCAAGTTTGGGGAGGCTGCCCAAGAAAGACTGGGCAGGCTCTTCAGGAGGTATCAGTGACCAGACTAGCCTCAGCTACAGTGCTGATGTCTAATAGGTGCAGAACTGGCCTTGGAGGGGGAATAAGAAAAGAAGACAGCACTGCTTCTGCAATTGCAGCTTAAAATAATCCCCTGTTGTGGCTTTCTGAAGGGAAAAGCAGCCACTTGAAATGTTGCTATGAGGGACAGATAAGGGCAGGGGACACAGTGGAGATAATTCTATCAGCAGATGGGAATGGAACTTGCTACTCTACCCATAGAGATCATATCTGATCTGAATGAATTTGTCATTGTAGAGCTTCTGGTTTCAAGCTGAAGTGGGTATTTCTAAGTAAAAGCTCAGTGTTATAAAACTGAACAATCTACAGTATACTCTGAGGGGAAAACAGAAAGAGTTTTTCTTCCTCCATTCTTCAGTCAGTCCCTTACCGAAGTCAGAAAAAGTCCCCTCCAGGCTTCACATTTTCACTCAGGGCTGTCAGACTGCTCTGCAACTTGTGATGAAAATAAATGAAAAGTAAAATTATTGGATAGATTCAATGCTAAACCTAGTAACAGCATGCATCAAAGTGTGGCTGTGTGATTTTCACATGCTGAGTAGCGGAGCCCAGCATGCAGGTTGCAGCCATTTCAAGGCATGCATTTATTATACAGGATTTGAACTGGAATCAAGCTCATCTCCATTTTCCACTTGGTGAAACCCAAATCACAGCCTGAATTGAAAGCAAGAATCCCCATGGATCTGTGGGCAACAGGATCTGCTGAACCCCTGGTCAGCTGAAACCTTGGGGTGTGCTTCTCCTAGGAGCTGGAAGCCTTCATTGTAACAGAGTCAAACAGTGCTTTGCTCATGGCAGGCTTCCACTGCATGCTCTCCTGCTCATATAGGACCTTCCTGTGCCCCCAGCCCTGCAGCAGACACTGCAGGGAGCTTTGCTAGAAACACGTTGGAATATTTGGCTCAGTAAGGTCAATCTCATCTATTTGCTCCAAAAAGTGAAAAACATAATTCAGCACTTTTCCTCTCACAGAAATATGCCCCCTTCTAACAAATAAACCTGCACTTGGATAACTCGTACCTTGACACCTACCCCAGCCCTCCTGCTGCTGGTGGCTGCCCTGGCACCACTCATCCCTTGGAGTCACCGGTGAGCTCCCCTGGCTCCAATGATCCCTGAGCATCACTGGTGGCTCCCCCAGCACCACTGACCCCCAACTGCACAGCCCTGCACCCAGATCCCAGAGCAGCCAAGTGCTCCCTCCCCTCTGCCCTGCACCACAAGGAATGCCAACAGCATGCGAGTGCCCTCGCTCCGCGTGGTCTCCAGAGGCAAATGGCTCCCATTTGCAGAGCTATCCCCCTCCCTCCCCACTTCTGCAGAAGTTTTCCTGAAGTGTCCAGGAGCAAACTGTCCCCTCGGGAGGGCCAGGAAACAGACCAGCCCTGCTTCACACTCCTCTGGGAGGAGCTGGACCCACCCCAGCAGCAGACAAGCTCATGAGGCTTGGGACTTTCCAAAGACAGATCCAGATTCTGGGCCTCGGCTGCTGTCAGGAGCACAGACACTGGCTGTGGTCCCAGCTGCCCTGCACTGGGAGCACAGAGCCCATTCCACACCCAAGGGGCTGCTGTTCCAACAGCCAGCGAACACGTCAGCGAGAGCCTCTGGGCTTTAGGGACCTTTGTGGGAATGTCTTGCAAGGCCAGGAATCAGAAACATTGCAACCAGCACTTCACGACTCACACCAAAGGCCCCAGGAAGGGCCTGATAAGCCCCACTACCCAGGGGCCACCAGCTGCACACGCTGCAACAGCCCCTCCACTCACCTGAGCCCTGTGGCCCCCCCGCCTGAGCACCCTGGACTCTGCCCCCATGGCTGCTCATGCCACAGACACCCAAGGAGGGGAAGAGGGGTGTGTGGTAAACATTCATCTGCTGTACTGGAGCCATTGGGACAGTGAGAAATGGAGCTGAAGAGCATGCTTGCACCTGGCTGGAACAGGATCTCTCCCTAGTTACACCCACCTCCATCCCGCACCTTCCTCTGTTTTTTATGCACTGCCTCATCTATGACTAATTTAGATCAAAATCTCCCACTGCCAGCAGCTCACAGGCAACATGCGTGGAGCGGGGGGAAACACACACACATGCAGCCTAGTACCCAGTAGAGCTACATATCACTGCTAATAGTAATTCATCCTCATCAAGGAATTGCAGTCCAGAGCGCAGTGCTCCCTGGCTGGGACCAGAGGCATTCCATCCCTGAGCCTGCCCTACCCAAAGCACACCCAGCCAAACACCATTGCATCCCTGAAAGGAGGCACCAAAAAGCTCTTCTGGCTCAGGTAGGCGCATGCCCAGCATGCCTCCCATGGAGGGAGGCAGCCAACCTGAGTGGGATTCAGACCCCCTGAAGCTCAAGGTGTAGCATGGGGTGGCAGTGAAGCTTTCTGCATTGCCAGGAAAATGGACACCCCGCGGGTTTCTGTGTCCCAACACCCATGGTCCTTAGGGACCTCCTGACAGAGAAACAGGAGGTCACCCCTGAAGGACGGATCCTCCCCTGTTCCCAGCCACCCCTTCTGTGGACAGGACAGGGAGCTGGCACCTACCATAGTGGGCCATCCTGACCCTCAGTGGGCAGGCACCGGGGGTCGTGCAGGAGCGCAGTGGGGACACAGCCCAGGCACACAGCTCGGTTTTGAAGGGGCTGCTCCTCCTTCAAGAGGAAGCTGCAAATGGGGAAGATAAGGCTGAGGTTAGATAACAGGAAATGTCTGGATGTGAGTGACAACACATCCAGGTTGTGAAAGCAGCCCTCCCCATCCTGCTGTGGGGCACGAGGCTCACAGAGGAGCTGGGTGGGACATGGCTGCAGGAGGGCGAGCATCTCAGCCTTTGCCCTGTGCAGCCATGACGCCTCAGCAGGCCGGGCACAGAGGGTCAGCAGCCACCCCAGCCAGTGACAGCACAGGGCAGGTCACTGGGGAAGCTGTGAGGAGCCATACCAGCTGTCCCAAGTCCAGCCACCTCAGGCCACCCATCCCACAGTGGTCAGGCCCTGCTGCACCAGCTGCTGAGGAGCCATGCGGAGGGATGGGAAAGCAGGAATGGCCAGAAGGACTCTGCCAGGAGACAGGCTCTTGCCTATGCTGTGCACAGAGGAGTGAAACTCTTACCCTTCTGTCTGAAGGGCAGGGAAGCAGGGCTCTGCGTGCAAGGATGGGATGATGCCCCAGCCATTGCAGACAGTTTTGCTCCAAAAGCTTCCTTGCAAGGCTCACCTCCTTTTTAAAGTCACAGGTGCAAATGGTCATGGCTCTGTTCCGTGGCACGTGCATGGACAGAGAGGCTTTGATTTCCCAGTTCCTGACCAAGGAGCCAGCACTGGTCCTGTGCCCCTGCCAGTCCTTTCACACATCCACTGGCTGAGGTCCCCATCCCTGTCTCTTGAGTTACTCGGCATCCAGAGTGCTTGCACAGAAAAGTAAACACAGTGTTCAGTTTAGAGTTGTAACCAAAGCAAGTCCCACTGTTTCTTCCCTCCTGTCTCGCCCTGGACAGCCCACAGTATGAGGCGTTCTCAAGTAGCACCCAACATCTCAGTGTTGTTTTCATCCAGCCTGGCCGGGAGCCCAGCTGGCCAGCACAGCTCTGGGAACAGAGGCAAGCAAGCTGCCTGTGCCAGGCCAGCAGCACAGCTGGCCATGCAAGAGCTGAACTGATTCAAGCAAACACAGGAATTTTAGAGAGACATTCCTCCTCTCTCTAGGCCAGTATGTTACACAGTATATTTTGTAAGGCCAGGACTCATTAAAACTATATCACTGCACTATCCCAAGCCATCACACGATTGCCATCAGCTAGCCATGCAGTGTGATAGGCACTTATGAATACTTCTTGTAGGATTGGTTTTTCCACTCCCAACACTCAGCTGCTGCCCTTCCTTTCCAGCTTTGCCTCCCCACTGCTGTCTGGCTCTGCAGCCAAAAGTCATGGAGAACCCCAAGTGCTGACAGCAGGGGCCTGCCCCAGTCCAGCAACTTTCAGTTACATTATCAGCATGCCAGGGCTGCAACCACAGACTTTATGATCCTGCAGCTCTGTCCAAACACCCAATCTGGAAAACATTTACTTATGTCTCCAAGTAACTGTGCCCACTGAGCTCCCTCGGAGCACTCACAAGGTGCTCCCAAGCCTGCATGCGGACATAGTGAGATCAGCCATCCTGCTAACAATCAAACCCATCTCTGGTGCTTGAGAGAGAGTTAGATAGTGAGGAATACAATTACTATCCAGTTCCTCTTTCATGTGCCTGTGTTTTAAAATATACAGTAAAAGAGGAATAGAAAGGTCTGGATGGTTTTGCCTTATTTTTACTTTGTTTTTTATTGGAGGAAAGAAGTAGGTCTGCTCATGTAGTCTGTATTTTTTTTATGTATTCCATCACAAAAGCTTCAGTCCATGAAGGCTTTCTAGCCAGCATGCCACCAGAAACCTGAGACTCATCAGCTGGGGCAGTGGGAGATCAAGCGTCCTCCCCCAGCCAGGACACCCCACTGTGCCCACGCCCAACCGTGGCCCAGTCCTGTGGGCCCATAGTGATGTCCAAGGTGGATGTATCACAGTGAAGCTGATTTCTTCTCCATTTTGACTTTGCAGATGTCACCACATTGCCCCACTCTGTGCAAGAGCCTTGAAATCACACTCCACTTTTCCTAATGAAGCAAATGTTTTTAGTGCGCTTGCAGGACACAGCTCTGTAACTTACTCTGGCAAGAGGAAGAAGGGAGGTAGAGAAGCTGTAGGGGTCACAGACTGCAATCAAATACTGTCTCAGAGGCTTCTGTGTACTGTTCCCCAAACCATGAAATTTTCTTGGAAAATAATTTGAAAATACTGGCTAAAATGAGTCACATAGTCCATTTGATTAACATGCATCAAATTCTCTCATACTGTAGTTTCAAAATCTTGTACTTATTACTTCCCATGAAGTAAGGCACAAATGATTAACAGGTCTGTACTGAACACAGAAAAACTGCTGCTCTGTGCAGATTAATCTGCGCAGACATGGAACAAAGAAGGACATGGAACTGTTAGAGCAAGACCAGAGCAGGGCTACAAAGCTGATAAGAGAACTGGAGCACCTCCCCTACAAAGACAGGCTGAGAAAGTTGGGGCTCTTCAGCCTGGAGAAGAGAAGGTTGTTGGAGACCTCATAGCACCTTCCAGTATCTCAAGGGTATACAAGGAAACTGGAGAGGGACTCTTCACCAGGAACTGTAGTGATAGGACAAGGAGTTATAGGTACAGAAAGAGAGGAAATTTAGGCTTGATATCAGGAAGAAATTCTTTTATGAGGGTGCTGAGATAATGGAACAAGTTGCCCAGGGAGGTTGTGGATGCCCCAGCTCTGGCAGTGTTTGAGGCCAGATTGGATAAGGTCTTGAACAACCTGGTCTAGTGGAAGGTGTCCCTGCCTTTGGCAGGAGGATTTGGGACTGGGTGATCTTTAAGGTCCCTTCCAACTCATAACATTCTATGATTCTATGATCCAAACTGGCTTAGCCAAGGCCAGATGATCACAGAGTCTGGCCCTTGGGCAGCATGCCTTCACAGGAGATTTCACCTTGGGACAACTCCTTGCACAAATACGTTCAAAGCCAAGATACTCCTCTTGAGGAAGGAATTAAAGCTGTATGCTACCCAGTCAGGCCCAACTCCAACCATCAGTGACTGTCTTCCATTTCAGTTTGCTCAGCCAATTCAGTCTGGCTGTCATGTAGCACCCAGAATCTAGGCCATTGGTTTTGAAGCCACCATATGGAGGGATGGAAAGACAAATTATTCATACATCAAATTCAAAAATACCAAACCACTCTCCTGAAGTTTCTCCTTCCAGGTGAAGAACACTATTATTTATTCCTGCACTGGCTAACTGTTCAAATTGTTTTCCTCCATCCTTGGAGGCCTTGGAGAGCTTTCAGACTAAATCTCAGAGAGCCAATTGCTACCCAAGTTTCTCCTGAGCTGTCTGAACAGCAGTCACTGTCTTGCCCTGCAGCACAGTATTAACAACCGGGGCTCGAACAACGCCAGCAGCGACCCCTCCAGCAGTCAGCTCTAACATTACCCTTGGCAGTTTATCCAGGTGTGACTGAGCTCTGACACTTCTCAGCTTTACAGGTGCTGCTTGGGCTAACCTGAGGAGTCCAGTATGAGCCCAGCATAAATGCACACAGGGGGAAAACAATACAAAGAAGGGCATTCACATGAGTGACCACAACAGAATGGGGAGAGGAAGAAAGGGGAAACCAGGAGCAGCCCTGAACTGCCACTGCAGTGCTTCCCAGTGCCTCTGGAAGCTCTCATGGTGCTGGATTCTCCAAGGAGCAAGATGGGCTGAGAACTGTCACAGTTCCTTCCCACCAGAAGATGGTTGATGAAGCTTAGCTCTAGGCACTAAAACAACCTGCAATAATGCAGGAAAAAATGACAACTATTCCTTGAAGGCCAAGCTATGCATGATGTAAGAACACAGTGGGGAGATCCTCCCACCACCCTGGTCTTTAACCCCTGCAGCTGGACACTGGGCAGCAATCTCTTCAGCCAGCAAGGTTAGAGACATTTCATCCCCACCATCAGCCTGCCTCTGGGCACAAGACTTCACCACTAGTCTGCTACTTGACAGGTCTGTCAGCAAAATGCACTCAGCTGAATCCTGCCTCACTGGCCAACCTGGGATTTGACTTGTGTGAACATCTTGTTCCCATTTCTATTCTTTACCTCATTCAGAAAAGAAAATACAAATCAACACATCACACGGACCTCCTGCTTTTGCTGTCAGTGCCCTCCTCCCTTCTTGCCCCCTTTTCAGGTGGATACACAGCAGCAACAGAGCTGGGCTCCAGTGAACAGAGCTGTTCTGTTCATGGCTGATTATGCATTTGTCACTTTTATTTTAGACCTCTGGTTTAAAAAAAAAGAAGAGAGACAGACAGAGAAAAAAAAAAAGAGAGGCACCAACCAGGAGGTTCAAAGCTGTTTTTCAGATGGACAGGGAGAGATAAGAAAACCCCACTAACGGTCACAGCCACTGAATGACCCCAAAGACATCCTGTACAGCACCCACTATTAATAACAACATATAGGGAACAGTAGTAGTGTTGATACTGTAATCCTAAAGAAGCAGCAAAATAGCACCAGCCACAGGTCAAGCAGCTTCAGGGAGCTTAGACTTCTTCTTTTTTAATTTTAATGAGTACATCTAGATTTTTATATGAGTGGAGGAAAACCAGACTTGCTTTTTCCCCCAAGTCTGCCATCGCTTTTCAGTCAAGACCAGTTCGCTGTTCACAAGTGCTAAGTAACCTTGCCTAGAAGTTTTGCCTCAAAATAAGGTTGTATTGCAGTCACCTATCTCCTTAATTCCAGCAGATGACTGAAAAATAAAGCCATATTTTCCCATATTTTTTTCCCGTAAAGGACTATCTTTTGTCTTACAGTAATCTTGTTACATGGCTAGACAAAGAGTTACCTCTAAGCAGGTAAATCTTACTTGGGGTGTGAAAGATTGATAGATTTTATCTCTTAAAGAAATCAGGAGCCACGGAGTTGCTTTATTCACTGCTGGTATCAATACAGTTACTCCACACCCATTATCCCTGAGAACAGAATCCAAGTCTGGATTGATACCTTTTTTTTTTTTTTTTTTTTTAATGTCAAA